CCGTGGTCAACGAGGGGGAGACAGACGCGCCTAACACGTCGTACGCGCGCCTGAGACCGTTTTCCGGCCTACTGTTAACCACGCTGTATAATCGCGGAGTCTTCTCGTCGATTAACGGGGCTGAGAGGCACACTTAGACATGAAAGATTCACACAGTGCTGCGCTGATAGCGGCGATTAATTCGCCTGTATATCGATATTTCAGGGAGACTCGAACGAACGCACGATCGCTTGACATTAGCCGTTGTCTCGGGTAGAACGCGGTCATATTGTTTTTTGACCCATAGTGACCGTGTACAATGCTCCGAGTTGCTCTGGTCGGATAAAGTTTGCCGTTGGTAAGACGTCGGAAGAAATATTAGCCTGGACGGAACCTTCCGCACAGAGGAAAGTTATCGCGAAGTTATGAGAGCCGTCAAACATATAAGTTAATGATTTATTGAGGAATTTATTTCATGAATCTAAGGTGACTGCGAGATACGTACTTTCCTCGGCGAGCGGACGTTGTTGTCGGCACACTCGGCTAGCCTTTCACCTCTTTCGGCCAAATGCGAATGCGGTATCGCGAGTGAATCTTACATTGTAACGACGCGAGTCCGTATTGAAACAGAAATTCACGTGTGCCCATTTGTATCGCCTTAGAAATTGTGCGCTTCCTTTCGTTCATATCAAGCCGTCACTCTATCAGACTGAGATGAGTCGTTTCTGAGAAAGCTCAAAGAAATTTATTACGCGTAGGGTCTGCATTAATAGTCGTTAGTTGAAATTTGTCTCAGGTGAGACACTCAGATTTTAACTTAGAGTTAGACCTGAGTCTCTCAGAGCTGAATCGCGATTGCAAATATAATGTCACGTGCATTATATAATTCAAATAAAAAAATTTATCTGACTTTAAATTCAGATTTGAGTATTTGTAGGACAAATTTCAAGTAACGATTATTAATACGAGTCTAATGCCCGTTTCTACTAGCTTTGGTTAACTTAACCAGCTGGTTAAGTCCAATGAATTGACCATTTTTCGTTAGTCGTTAGAATTTGTCAGATGTGACTGATTCAATTCTGTTGGAATAACCGTTAGTTGAAATTTGTCTCAGGTGAGACACTTAGATTTTAATTTAGAGTTAGACCTGAGTCTTTCAGAGCTGAATCGCGATTGCAAATATAATGTCACATGCATTATATAATTCAAATAAAAAAATTTATCTGACTTTAAATTCAGATTTGAGTATTTGTAGGACAAATTTCAAGTAACGATTATTAATACGAGTCTAATGCCCGTTTCTACTAGCTTTGATTAATTTAACCAGCTGGTTATTCCAATGAATTGACCATTTTTCGTTAGAATTTGTCAGATGTGACTGATTCAATTCTGTTGGAATAACCAGCCGGTCAAGTTAACCAAAGTTAGTAGAAATGCGTCTTCGGTTTCTCATCAAACTTCATATTTGTGTTTTATTAAGTGTCGAGACACATTCAGCGTTGAATCGGATGTGTTTAAGAAAATTGCAGTGCTCGCCGCGTGTGTGTAAATATATCCAAATTTTATTCGATGTAACAAACAGCTTGCGGATTCAACAATCTGGAAGATATCAACATTTAAAAAATAAGAAATAAGAAATTCTTTATACAAGGTGCCTGACAATTCATCACACACCCGTTGCGTGTAGATAGAGTTCGTCAAACTGAACACAAAATTCCTTTGCCATTTCGCAAACAGTCACAAGTAAAATTTTCAGTTATTAATTAAATAAGATTGGTGGATGATTATGCGCGTTACGATGGATGAGCTGTGATGGCGACGTTTGCCCGTTGTATACTTAGATATACATTAAATCAAACTGAACAAAAAAGTCCTCTAGCATTTTGCAAATGACAACGCAGATTTTTAGTTATTAGTTAAAGAAGATTGACGCACCATCATAAACGATCATATTGCAGCGCTATAAGTCCGGTTAATTTTGCAACTCGAAACGTATTCAACAGCATTACATGTGCGCTTATATAAGAGGCCGATTCTTCGGGTCATTTATTAGCCAGTCCGACAGTCCCGTTGATCCGCCGTTAGAGAATGTTCGTGAACTAAGAAGTAAAAGTTCTTACATTCGGCCGATTTATACCTCGATATTTATTATCTCTGGCTACTGCTTTGTTTGTCTCGCATCGCGAACTCCGCCGATATTTGGTCAAGTTTCACGATCATATACGGCATGGATCTTAAGCGGGGACGCTGGGATCCTGGAAGGGGCTAGCGGATTCAGTCTGCAGCCAAGTCGCCCGCGATAGGAACATTGCCTAATAAACGATCTCATAAACGTCGCGCCGCGAACGTCGCCGACGTCGAATTGGCTTGACGCGGTATGACTTCTTCGACCTCGCTGCAAAAATAACGCCACTATTGCCGAAATAAAGTGCTCCTTACAACATCTCATTTGCCTCCAGCTTTCGGGCATAAAACGTCCAAATCTTTGTTCAGGTTATTTTCGATCTTGCATTATAATTGAAGAAACTAAAGCTAGTGTAAGCATGCTGTATTTTAAAAAGAAGTGGAGGCGAGAAATTGCAACAGATCGGGATAAAAACGTAAATATTTCAATAAGGGAGACATCGAGCATTTTATAATGTTGTTCATAAGGCCCGAGACTCAATTAATAATTTTCATTTGTTATTCGCGACATATAAATGGTGGCGATCACAATTATTACTATTTGCTATTGAAACCAATACACAATTGAAATTATAATAACAAGTGTTATTATAAATAAATAAATTTTTTCGTGTATTTCGAGTGAATTAAAACAATACCGTCAACGTCGGAGGTTTGATGAAGAGTTAGAATCTTTCAACGAGCAATGTGTGTCTCGAAACATTACATTTTGCAACAAAGAGAAGTTGCGACGTCTTTGGATTTGGGCCTAGTGGGCTGCCAAGAACGCCCGACTCAAATAGACGCTCGCGACACATTTCACTTTCTTACTTTGATACTTTTATACACAGATTGACAAAGAGATTATATTGTGTAAAGAACCACACATGATTCCATTAAAAACAAAATTCCTTGTATCTGGGTACCATAGTAGTCTCCACGAGTTTTGGTACCCGTAAGTTTGAGTTCACGGACGCTGCCAGAGAATGTCCGCGCATAGAAACACTCTGTTTATACTAACAGTATTATATGTCATGAATAATAAACCGAAATCATTCATCAAGTGTCGTTCAAGTTTCAATACGAACAACATGGTCACATTACATATTTCCCGATGTATTCACCAATACGCGCACCAAAAAGGTCCGCTGCGTTGCGGGAGGAACGCTGCCTCCCTTTGGGGTGCCACGGTCTCTGCGAAAATGAGAGCCAGCGCCATAATCGTAAACCAAGGTACATCTGCATGCGCGCTAACGAAAAGCCCATAAGTACGACTATGCTCTTCTGCTCGGGAATCCAGCAGGAAGCGCGCCAGAAAGGAAAAAATTAAAAAAAATAACGAAACAAAACCCACGGGCAGCCTCGTTAATATCCGATCCGCGGAGTGAGCTCGGCTCGCCAGAACGACAGACGACCGCCGGTGAATCGGGCGTCGGTGCACTTTTAATTGACAGGAATGTTTAGCGGTAATGAACGCGCGCCGAGTGGAAGGAGCGGAGGATAAGCCGGGAGCGTATACCGACGGTAGCCAGTAGTGGCGTCGTCGTCGTCGTAGTCGTCGACGACGACGACGACGACGACAGGAGAGAAACAGCGCAGCGCCAGGGCCACGACTAGATAGAGACACGGCGGCAGGAGCATAAACATCCTCGGCCCCCGGTGGTGGCGGCTACAGCGACGGCGGCGGCGGGGGTGCAGCGCGCACGTTCCGCACCGTGGGCGTCGCCGTTTGGTTCCTACCACGACGGCAGGGATGTTCTATGACGCTATAGATCATGCGGGCTCCACCCGTGGGCGGAGACTGCACGCCAGTTGGATACGTCAGTGCAGTTTGCCCGCAGCGTTGCCAGTTTCGCCAGCATTGCCAGCTCCACCACCGGTGCCCGCCAAAACGTGTTAAACGGAGTCGAGCGAGCGAGAGAGAGAGAGAGAGAGAGATAGATAGAGAGAGAGAGAGAGAGAGAGAGAGAGAGGGATAGAGCGAGAAAGAAATGACTCCGAATGCTGGATTATTTCTGGAAATATTTTCGTGGGAATTTTTCGGGTTTAAGGAGAGCTCGTGTAAAAGGAGAAAGGTGATAGTTCAGATATGATAAGTAAAAGTTTTCAAGAAGTAACTTGCTTGAAGATACAAATGCGTTTCTCATACAAATGCGTTAGGAATATGATTGATTTTGTAAATTAATATCACTTTTGCGATTGTTTTGACGTGACGTGGTCATTTGGTACTTTCCACACGTGCACACAATATCTACTATAATCGCCAATTTGTCGAGATCTATAAAAATAGTTGTTTAGCGAGCTAAATGATATAGTTTTTTGAAAATTGCATTCGCTGCGGTATTATGTAAATCACAAAGATTTACACACAGAAAGAGACAAAAAAAGAGAAAGAGAAGATAACACAGAACACATTATACGTATCTAAAAATGATATCAGATTATAATTTATAAGAGCATTTAGTAGTCACATAGCTTGTACATTTATAGAAGGCAAATCAGTTTGATACTGTACTACTGATAGCCTCAAGTTTTCGCTGAATATTTTCCTTTCTAGGTCATGTATACTTAAACTCCACGGTGTATAGTGCATATACTAAGTGTATTTCTAGTAGCTGGACGCAACGCATTTACTTCGCCAATATGTGGAACATTAGCTAATCTAATAGAACGTTGTGATTATGAAACTATCTTTCGTACTGGACGCAACTATCCTTCGTATTAGCAATTGTGTGTTTTTGAGGTTAAGTTAGGTTAGGTTTCGAAATCCTTACAATACGCTCGACAGCTCCACTTGCCAAGCTCCCCTCCAATTACAGTGCTAGCCCACTAAGAAACAGTGTTGATCGAGTACTCACCTCAATCAGCAACGCCTTGAATACGGTTTAATCAGCAAGAATGTCGAGAGACCCTCGGCTTTTGGCTCCGCGTCGCCGTAGTATCGTAGCTCATTGCGCAACGGCGCCTCTGGTGGTGGCAGACGGAACTACCCAGAGCTAAAACGACGTCTCCCCGTGCACCTCCCTCGCGGGACGCTATAGTCGAGGGCCCCGCCTCCTTTTTCGACCTCCCCTCGTGCGCGCGAGCGCGTCTACGGTCACGCGGACGCTGTCGACGGGCTCTCCTCGCTGTGAGCAAACCCTTTTTCGTTCAGTTTCCCGCATAGTTTCGCCGGAAAAATTCCCAGTCCGCGCGATAGAGCTGCGGAAAAGCGGGAGCGAGAAAATTTTACTGGATTCCCGCAACGGCGGGCGCGTGGGTGCCACGTTGCAGCGGGCAGCAATCCGCCAGCGTCTGCTGCATCCGCAGACGAGAGTGGCTGGCTTTTGCGCCGCCGCCAGCGCGTCCCCTCGCGTCGCGCCGCGCGACCCGTTGCGTCGGGTCGCGTCGCATCGCATCGCGTCGCGTCGCGACGCGCGTGTATGGGTAAACCGAGAACGACGGAGGACAAGGCACACGGTCTCTCCTCCCCCACGGCTTCGCTCATTCACTCGGTACACTTCGCTTCGGTGGATGTCCCTCCGTCGATCCCTTCCCGCACACCCTTCTCCCACTTTGCTTGTCGCGGCCTCCGCGCGGCCCCGCCGGTTGCCTCGTTCGCGGATCGCGCGCCGCGGACGCGATCGTGGCCACGGAGGAGAGAAAGAACGAGGGCGACGGAAAGCGGGAAGGAGAGGTCGAGCGAGCGCGAGTGAGGCCAGCAAGGAAGAGCAGGCGAGCGAGGAAACGAGAACGGGCGGCGGACGACGAGGAGGAGGAGGAGGTGGAGGAGATGGAGGTAGAAGAGGAGGAGGAAGAGGAAAAGAGGACTACTACTACTACTACTCCTGGGGTCCCCCCACCACACGGCCTGCCGCCGCGACGCCAGTCCGTAGTCAGTCAGCGCTGGACCGCCGCCCGCTCGATTTCGCGATCCACGAACGACGGTAGCCTCCACCTCCACCTCCTCCCCGCTTCTTTTCCGCTTGCTGCGCTCTGGATCTCTCTCTCTCTCTCTCTCTCTTTCTCTCTCTCTTTCGTACTCTCCCTCTCTCTTCCTCTTTCTTACGTATCCTCTCTGTCTTTCTTTTTTTCCTTCTCCTTTTTCTCCCGCGCGTCTCTTTCTTTCTTCTCTTTCGTCCGTTCACTGTCCGTTACCGCATTTTCTCGCTCTTTATCTATTGCATGTGTTTTCTCTCGCTATTACCGTTTGTCTGATTATCTTTTTCTTCTTTCTCCCTCTCATTCTCCCACCCTCTCTCCTCCCCCCTCTCTTATTCTCTCTCTTTTTCTCTCTGTTTCTACCTATTTGTCTTTCTTTCAATCTTCCTCTCTCTATCTTTAGCTTGAGATCTTTGATACTCACATACGCACACGGAACACCGTGCGCGTCTCGAGTAGACGCGACACGCGTTGTCGCAGATCACACGTTGCGAAGGGCTTTGTCGCGCGATTATCAGAGGATCTGCCCGATCCACCCGCGAGATATAATTGCTGACGCGATCTCTATAGCGGTCGTTGGAGAGCGTCTCCGCGTATTGGTGTGAACGGCGACCGGTTGCGAAAGTGACGAGTGACACTGATGATTGCTTGCAGAGAGAAGTGGTGAACCAGGGGTTGGTGCACGGATTGTCGTTGAGATGGTCCACGTTTCGGAGTGATAGGTTGCTCCGCGGGACCGACAATCGTATGCAATTCAGTGTACTGAGTTCCTCCGCGATTCTGACGGAGGATGTAGTGACGATAGTTGTAGAATATTAATACGCAGTCGTCAGCGCACACAGTTGACACCAGACGACGACTCGCCGGCACTGGTTGCTCCGAAATGGCGGCGCGGGCACAGATGAGCTCGCAACAGTGACACAGAGCCTGGAACTTTGCGCTTTCAGTCACGATACGCTGCGACCGACTGTCGCTTCGGTGATACGCGCGAATATACAAACACAGGGTGCACAGGTGTGCCGCGGACTCCTCCTCGGACAGGATGACGACGGTCGCGATCGCGCCGCTGACGACGACAAGTGGGTCGTCGGCGATCACGATGAGGTAGTGATTGTAGGGACACGTGCCGGTTGGGTGAGACCGCAAGTGTGCTACGAGAGAAGAGAGGAGAAGGAGGAGGACTATCGCAGGTGGTTATCCCGGAGGGAGGTAGGCGGAGGATACTTCCGGCGCTCCGGACCGCCTGACTTTTGGGGACCAACCGATCGCAGCCAAGGCAAGCAGAGACCTGGAGACCGCACGGATAATCGACCATCGATCCCGAAGGACGCAGATGCCCCGAAGGAAACAGCACGCGCCGCAACGCATGAAATGTGAGTCGTCAGTGGCAGCGCGCGATGGTAACGGCGACGGTGGAACGCGGACAGGAAGTTGTTGGCAGAGAGCCGGTCGACGATCGCCAACGTCGACGAAAGTCGACGCGGCGAGGAAATTGTCCAAATTATCCGGCCGATCGGGAATGACAGAACGTGTATAAACGGCAAAACAACCTGCTGAATCGGTATCCGCGTCTTTTGCGTCGAGGAGGTCGAAATTATTCGCGAGTGAAGCCGGGACTTCCGAGAGGTCGGCGGCGTTCCACCGTCGCTGATTCGACGGCGGAGCCACGTGGAACACCACGTGGAATGCCGCGTGATTTCGGGAGTAATCGCAGGCAATCCCGCGCGCGCGGCATTATCCGTTCGTGCTGGATGATCCGGATGGCGTGGTTAAGGGAACGCTTGACGCAAATTCGATCAGCGTGAGACGGCAATGTGATTCGATCGTTCGACGATCGTCCCGAGAAATCGGGAGCCGTCTGAAACTCTCGACGCGTCGGCAGCGCGAGGCTGCATTTCAGCGCGCAGCGCGTATTTATGGATTAATTAAAACGAAGGAAATGTCTACGCGATCGTAAGGGAGCTTCCATGAAGTCGTAGAATGTCTTTTACTACCAGTTTAGCGTCCGCGCGCGTTCCTGCGCGCCGGAGTTCCTAAGTTACGCCGCTGTCGTGCACGATGGAAATTATCGCTCAGAAAACTTTTAATGCGAGGATTAAAGAAATCGAAAATATCTCCTTTTCCCGTTGCGAGCTCGCGTCTTGCCGGGACGAGCTGTGCGGAAAGTTTCCACCAATTCAAACGCGTGTCTTGTGAAACACTTTTTACGAAAAAATCTCTCAGTTTTTCGATACGCACACTTTGGCATGTATCAGCGATACAATTGAGATTCAAACGGAGCGTCGTTCGATTATTGGTAGTTTGTGAAGCGAGCATCGAATTACTTAGAAATGCTGGAGTTCAAATATCGAGAAAAAAGTATCAGTCAATGAGGTCAGGTTTTTTTAAGATACAGTTGAAGTGATCGTTAAAAAAAAGTAAAGTATATATACGGGTATATATGTGGGGAATCGAGGTTTTAATAATATTTTTACATCACCAGTTTTGTGCAGTCGACGTGCAAAATGTGATAAAGAAAATGCGATAAAGGCAATTCCAAATCGTAAAATTATATAAAATACATCGTCTCTCTCTCTCTCTCTTTCTTTCAAGTTGTTCCAAGAAAATTAATAGTAAGACACTTAATACTGACAGTTGGTAAGATGAAAAAAGAAATTGATACCCGTGATGTATTTATAACTCACACTATCTCCTGAGGAGACATAAAACTTACAAGATCTTTGCTGGAAATTCGATTCATTTGAACACTTCAGTCGTCGTGGAGTACTCGACAATTGACATGCATACAGAATCGGTTCCCTTATTTATTTTTCACGCGCACATAATTTGGACATTAGGAGATTTGCATACGTATGCAACTCGGGCAGCTCTCTATGAAAGAGAGAGAGATAGGTTTAAATAGCGTCGTCTGTCGACGAGACAGGTAAAATCTAACTCTCTCAGCCCTTTGTCGGATGAGTTCGAAGACGGGCCGAAGGCGATTGCGCGCCATTGCGTTGTGCGCCTGCCGACAGATGGGCAGAGCGGCCTCGGCCGCGTCAGGCCGAGAGGCGATTTGTGCGTTTGAGGCCGTGACGCGCGCCATGCTGCCTTTCCCACGTGGAGAATCATGAGGCGTAAACAAACTCTCGCCCCCGCCGGTGGCGCAGGGACCGCCATCTTGGTGAAGTTGTGCCGGAAACATTTACAATTCACTCAACTTGCCTTACCGAAACTCGGCCAAGCGCCGATAAATCTCGTGCGCCCGCGCGGCGCGGCGCGGCGCCGCGGCGCACATACCCCGCGATGCGATGCCCGCCGCGTACACATAAATTCGCGGCAGTCCGCGGAGCTTCACTGCCGTGTGTGCTGCACTTTTTCGCCGGCTCCGGCGTCTCTTCGACGGTGCGTCTCAGGAACGGGGCTCTCTCACGGCGATCACACCCGACCCTGTTAACGTTACCGTTGCCTTTGCCGTTCCTGGAAATTGGTTTCCATCCATACGCACGGAAAAAACAATTCCGCTAACTGCACGCAAAAAAAGAAGCTTCCAGAGCTAAAAAATAGCTGTGACAGATAAGATGTGTCACTGAAATAGGGACAGCTAATGTCGATACTATCGAAGCTAAATTTATTCGCTGTTTAAACTTAGGCGCTACAACGAGAAATATTAGCTGCACTGAGAGAAGAATTTAGTAAATATTATCAAAATTTGGTTACTATTGGTAACCAAATTTATACTAAATGGTAGACGTAAATATAACGGGCTAAAGTTACGGCAATATTTATTAATTAATTTAGTTCTGTAAAATAAATTATTTATTTGACAGAAGTAAAATTTATTTGCTTCCAGAATATATTTGGTAAATAAAACTTATTGAATAGTTGAGCAAAATAAGCGATTTTGTAGTAGTTACAAAATTTTTGGTAGGTTCAACCAACCATCTGTAATAATAGATATTGAAACGATGTAATAGTTGCAAATGAATGAATTTTTTATACTGGTAACAAAATAGAACTCGTACCTACTGAATTTTTTATTACATGGGATATAACAATTTCATAACAGTTATCAAATATCTGCTTATAACTGTAATATATTTCATATTAAATATTTAACATTAAGTAACTATTACTAAATTATTTAATTGATGTTACTGTGAATGCAATTACGTCATACTCCCGATCTATTAAATATTTGGTAATTATTATCATATTTAGTATTAGTTACTAAGGATTCAATGAATTTCTGTAACTAAATGCAGTTTGTTATAGTTACCAGTCTTTTCTCTCAGTGTACAAAAACAAATGACTGTAACACATGATTGTAGCTGTGCGGCAAACTTCTTTAATA